ATCTCAGTTCGAGGCGAAACGGCAAGATGGAAAACGGAAGCTGGTTCCTTTTGCTATTCCGACAAGATTCAAGGTCCCTAATCCACCACACCTGTGCACGTACACGTGCGTGCATGTGTGTGTGTGTGTGCACGTATACATGTACATATACGTACTGAACCGAGAGCGCACGCCGCACTCGAGATTTCACCGATTTTTGTCACAAATGACCCGGTGACCTGTGACGTCACACAACCCCTTGGCTAACTACTAACTCGCTTATAGAGGCATATGGACTGCTGCCGGTGTTATATGCAACAGGTTTGTTTATTGCATTATCGTCGCCACATTTTCCTCTAATCTAATGTACATAATTATAGATATGGCACTTGCGTCGCTCGTCGCCATTGCGAGCCTATGCGATTTCCCTCAAGCAGAAGTTGTCTCCTTTTCATTCTCAAAATCGGACTGCTTTTGATTTAGATGAACAGTTTGCTGAAGTTCTGGGATTTCGCTCAGTTGCATGACTGTCTGAGGTTTCTTGTTTGGATATTTTATTCACCGCCTGCCCTCTCCTTGATGGTCTGGTCGAAGATGCCTTTGTCGCTGGAAAAGTGACATGTTACATTGATGCGGGAAGCATCCTCAACCAGATGCTCCTCCCCCCTCTCTCTCCCTCTCTCCCTTCCTTATTGACGTAACGTTAACGGGAGATTTCTTAGGAAAGAACGTAGAACATCTCCTCCTTCCCTCAATCCCTCTTTCCTTTTTTTCCTCCCTTTCCATTTCCATTTTCCATCCATTACTTATCTCTACCTTCCTCCCTTTCTCCTTCCTTCATTTCGCTCACTCTCCGCCTTCTCTCTCCCTCCGCTATTTTAACGGGAGATTTCTTTAGAATGAAGGTAGAACATCTTCTTCTCCCTCCCTTCAGCCCTTCCTCACTATCCCCACGTCTCTCTCTCTCTCCCTCTCTTTTTCTCTCTCTTTCTTTCTCTCTCCCTCTCTCTCGCTCTCTCTCTCTCTCTCTCTCTCTCTCTCTCTCTTCCCCCCCCCCTTTTTCTCGCGCGTTCTCTCTCTCTCTCTCTCTCTGTCTGCCTCTCTCGCTCTCTCTAATCGGCACGCACACATTCTACGAGAGTTTACTGCCGCTATGAAGTGCTACAGTTACTGTACTACACGCGTATGACGGACTTCAAAATCACGTCATCAGTCGCCCGCGCGTGACCCCGCATAACCCCGCCTCGCCTAACCACCATATTGGATCAAGACATCGAGCGATGTCGACAGATAACGTGACATCATTATATGTTGTCATGCCTAAATTTATACGTGGATTAAAACGTGCATATTTGGACATAGATTGTATGACGAGACAGCGAAAACTATGTGCAGTGTGTGGCAATCGGATGACATTACGCGTGGATGGTTTTGCTACGGATTTAATCGAGAGACTGCGATGTGTGTGTGTGTGTGTGTGTGTGTGTGTGTGTGTGTGTGTGCGTAACATGCGGCGGGCGTAGGACACGGACATACATCATTACATGGTTGAAAAATATACATTTGTCGTGGTTCGAACAGCGAGAGCGTGGACTTGTCGTGTTCGTGCGAGTTTCTCTCTACAGTACATGGCTAGATTTGGGATGGATTCGGTCAAGGTATGTAATATTTATGGCTAAATAGTGATCGAGACATGAACTTCCAAACTATGAAACTAGTTCAGTGATAGATTGGTACCAATTACTGAATTGGTGCTGCAAGATATTCATATTATTGAGATGTCGATGTAGATAGGGGTATTATTGATTTTCTATTTGGTTTCGACGAATAGATTTCGTATGGGTTAAATCAAAATATATGTAAAAAGCTTTGGGTAGTTAGTCAACCAGACATCAACTTAATTAGTTAATCGATTGTGACCAAGTGCCGCAAGGTGTACGGATTATAGATGTAGATAAGGGTAATAATGATTTTATATTTGGATTCGATGAGTAGATTTGGTATAGATCGTGAGCCTGCAGGTTCTTTTTAACGGGGTTTCTTCTCCCTCTTTCCTCCTCCTGGCTTTCCAACCTTCCCCCTCCTTCCCGTGCACCTTTCCCTTTCGATACACCACGCATAAGCGTACTATAGGTCCGCTATGTTAGAAGTAGTAAACAAGAGAAAGTGCAGCCGCCAACTGGTTTACGTGGATCGTTAATTGTTGTTGTTGTTGTTGTTGTCATCTCTTACAGTAATAAATGAGAAAATCCATCCCATTAATATTTACCGCGTTTGTAAACTATCCGAAAAGTATCGGTAGGAAAATGTCAATAATTGTTGACCGCCTGCTTTTGGATCCCGTCGAAAATATTGGGAATGCCCCGTTTAGCGTGTTATACGTGCAACTGGAAGATAAAGATTTTTTGATAGACGGATAATAGAAATAATATGCTAGTTAGACTATCTATAGGTGTCTATAATATAAATATATATATATATACTAGCTATTACCCGTCCTCCAGACGGGTTTGAGTGGGGTCTGATTTGATCGAGATGGCGGTTTAACCATTTATCTCTCACTTTTAGTTGAGGATGTATTTACAGTGAACGAAACCGTCACATTTTAATAATCTGCTTATCAGGTCCGATAGATTCATTAGATTAGGTTTATTACAGTTAATTGTCCTATTCCCAATATTGCCCAACAGGTTAACGCCTATGAAAACAGGGAAAAAACGGACATTAATCTTATAGTGGCATTTTCATACTCAAATGCCACGCACCGGTGGATTTTCGACAAGTTTGTTATGATAACTCACTCGAAGTATGAACTAAATTACTCTTACACATGTGTGGGGGTAATGACTTGTTTTGTTTTTTCTACATGCAAAAATACAATTGAAATTTTAATATACCCTACCAGGGTATTATAGAGCGACCCCCCCTGCAATACACCCATGTTATGTGTGTTGTAATGTGTACTGTAGTGTGTGTGTGTGTGTGTGTGTGTGTGTGCGTGTGCGTGTGCGTGCGCGTGCGCGTGTGCGTGCGCGTGCGTGTGCCGTATATGTTCCGCACGCCCGTGTGTGTGTAAATGTGTATGTTTGTGCGTGGGTGCGCGTTGATTGTGCGTGCGTATGCCGCCGTATGTGTGTAAATGCGGTGTGTGCGTGCGGGCGCGCGTGTGTGTAATGTGGTGTGTGCGCGCGTGTGTGCAAATATTGAACACGGTAGGTGTAACCGTGCCGCCGCCGTCCACTGACTTTCAAGAAAATATATCTTCCAAACTACTCAATACAATTTTTTTTCTTCAGAATTTCACTTATTATTATGCCTCTAACCAGAATAATATTTTCAAAAATAATATCTAAATATGTAATATATAAAATTGTAGCTATGAAATCACCTCCATTTCCTTTTTTGAAAATTAATGTCATTTTAAGGTAAAATTTCAGATTTGTTATATATATTAGAGACAACTTTTTTTAAACAAATATTGATGATATGACTCGAGTCTAAAATATCAGTATTTTTCGTTCAC